GGCCAGAATACTCTCCTGCACCCCAAGCTCCTTCACCCAAACTCCCTCTCAGACTCCAGTAGGGATGTTAAGTAGCCATTCATTTGCTAATCAAGTAGTCAATGGAATTTCCATCAACTACTTGACTAGTCTTTAAGGAAGGGCACTTAAAGCACTCACTTCAGGCTCATGCTAGGTCTCAGCACAATTCCCAGCTGCCTACACCAGGCCAGAATCCTCTCCAGCACTCACACCCCTCCCTGACCCTACACTACAATCCCCTGCCCCAGGTCATCACCCAAACCCTCTGCACCCCCTTCATCCAGATCACAACACCCTCCCAGACCTTGCACCCCCTCCTAGAGCCCCTCCCTCAGGCCAGAATACTCTCCTGCACCCCAAGCTCCTTCACCCAAACTCCCTCTCAGACTCCAGTAGGGATGTTAAGTAGCCATTCATTTGCTAATCAAGTAGTCAATGGAATTTCCATCAACTACTTGACTAGTCTTTAAGGAAGGGCACTTAAAGCACTCACTTCAGGCTCATGCTAGGTCTCAGCACAATTCCCAGCTGCGTTCTGCACTCTTAAAGGGACAGAGGCACAGGCATGCAAAGATACTGGCTCAATCTCTGGTCCCCTGCCAGGTCTCAGAACAATTTTTCCCCACACTGCCACTCTGCATTCTTAAAGAGACAGAGCAGCAGCAGCTTGTGCTGCAGGTCTCAGCACAAGCCCCCCCCCCCCCCCACCCTGTGATCCACACACTGCAAATGCTGCAGACCAGAGCCCTGCAGAAAAAGGCAAACCTTTCTTGGTTTCACTGTATTTCACAAAGACAGACAGCAGACTTACTAGGTAACCTCTCCCTCCTGCCGAAGGAAACAGAGCACTTGAACACACTGCTGTGGAGTGTGAAAGACCCTGTAATATAAATAAGGTCTTCATCCTGCAAATGCTAATCCCAGTTGTGCTTTGTTATTTTACTTATGAGTCACTGTCTCTGTTTTCTAGTGTAGTTTCTTGGTTCTTCAAAGACCTGGCATCCACCCTTAATGACTTTCAAAGCCTGTCCCTGTCCCCAAACAAATTGTAAAACTTAATGGCAATCACTTGTCTGGAACCCATAGAAATTGTTTGGCAACAGGCAACTCGCCTAGTCAGTGCCACTGCAGCCCCTGAGCTGGGGCTCAGAGTCAGGCACGTCAGGTTACAAATACTTCGATTCCTGTTAAAGACACACTGGTTACTGGAATTCTGTCCAGCCAGAACTTGCCTCTTCCCCCAGCTCCCTCCCCACCAGCCCTCTGAGGCTCAAAGGGAATCCCACTCCCTTCTCATGCTACCCAGTGCAGCTGGAGATCAGGCTGTCTCTCCCAGACCACCCCCCACCCCATAGGCCGAAATTGAGGTAGACTGTCCTCTACCTGTACAGTGACCATATTTTCTGAACCAAAAATAGGAACATGTTAGCCACACCCCCTAGCCTCATTAGCCACCCCCTGATCCCTTAGGTCACACCCACCTGCCACATGAAGTCCCACCCCTAGAGGTAGTACTTTCAGGGTCAAGATGGACACATGACCGGAAGTAAAGGGTGTTGTGTGACCCCTCTAAGAACTGCTCCCACCATCCTCTACCAATAGGGATGGTTTGGACCCCATAGGAGCCCCCCCCTCATGCAACTATCCCACAATTGCATTAATCCAGCTTGCACTGCATTAACTCGGGGGAGAGGACGAGAGTGCCTCTATTTCAGTGGTTCTCAAACATTTTGGCCCGTGAGCCACATGGCTCAATGTAAACCTCTCCGCAAATCACCAGCTGCTAACAGAAGCTCACTGTTAATTACATAATTACACCCAAGCCATTTTCTTAGTGCTGCAGCTGGGGGGAAACAGTTTAAATTTGTAAACAGATTAAGTGTTTTAACTCTCTCATGTGGTTTATCAAACTTCATTTTAAATAAAGTAAAATCATTTATGTCCAACACAAAAGGTTCCAATGTTTTCTTTATAACAGGGGTCGGGAACCGTTTTTGGGTAAGGGGCCACAGAATCACAGAAAAATCAGTTGGGGACCACACAAGTGAGAAACAATAATACTCCTTGCACAACCCCCAACGCTCACTGTGGCCCCCAACTGAAACACTTCACTCCTCTGGCGCTCCAGCCCCACAGGGCAGGGGGAAAGGACAGGGAAGACTGAGGTTCAGGGCTTCTCATAGGTCAGGTTTACTTTTCTGATGGATTTTATGGACTTCCTTAGGCTCTGGGGTGGGGACAAAAGTGAGGGGTTAAGTGCGTGCGACAGAGCTGCCAGCGAGCAGGACAGCGATGGGGGTGCAAGATCTGGGAGAGAGATGGGGTGCAGAAGGGGGAGGGTTGCGAGGTTGGGTGGGAGGTAGGGTGCAGAAGCAGGCTGGGAGTAGTGTCTGGCCAGGGGGAGGGAGCAAGGGAGGTTTTCGGAACAAGCAGGGGCCAGGAGGGAGGGTGCAGGAGCAACAGTGGATGCAGGAGCAGGGGGGGGGGAGGG